CAGTGAGCCTGGAGGTCTGGCAGGCGGCGTTCCCTGTCCCCAGTGCCACGCGGTGGACACGGCAGTGAGCCTGGAGGTCTAAGCCTGGAGGTCTGGCGGGCAGCATTCCCTGTCCCTTGTGCCACGCCGTGTACACGGCAGTGAGCCTGGAGGTCTGGCAGGTGGTGTTCCTGTCCCCAGTGCTACGCGGTGCACACGGCAGTGATCCTGGAGGTCTGGCGGGTGGCGTTCCCTGTCCCCAGTGCCACGCCGTGTACACGGCAGTGAGCCTGGAGGTCTGGCGGGCCATGTTCCTTCGGCATGCTCTTTTTTCAGGGTCTTGGCTGTTTTAGGTCCTGCTGTGCGTTTCCATTTCCATTCTGCAATCAGCTCTTCAGTTTTCATTTTGTTGAGTCCTTAACGTCAGTTTTGGGAATGCTGACTTCCTAATGATACTGAATCTTCAGGACACAAATATGACATTGCTCCCTTTATTTTAATGTTTCTTTACAGCATTCTGTCATTAGTAGAAGCATTCCACAGAGTTCATTCAGTTTATTGTTCGGCATTTGGCGTTTGTCATGCTATATTACAAATGGGTTTTGCCACGTTGGCCAGGCTGGTCCTGAACTCCTGATCTTATGTGATCTGCCCGCTTTGGCCTCCCAAAGTGCTGGGGTTACAGGTGTGAGCCACTATGGCCTGTTCTTTAAGAAAGTTTTAAATTCTTTTCTCTCTGCTTTTGTTTGGGCACCGTCTGCTGACTTTGAGCCCTGCCTTCAAGCTCCCGATCCTTTTTGCTGTTCATTTCATTCAGGGAGTTCTGTTTCAGAGAGGGTGTTTAGTTCTGGAATTTCTGTGTGGTTCTTTATCCTCTGTCTTTCTGCTGTTTACATCCACACTTAGTGTCATTTCTGAGCACGTTTAGAGTAGTTATTTAAGAGCCTTTGCTGGCTGATTGGAGCCTCGGTCATCTGTGGGTTCGTTGCTTCTAGCGTCTTGTTCTAATGAGAAACCACGTCTTTCTGCCGTTCACCTGTGTCATCATAGTCCCTATCATAAGCTGGACGTCGTGTGGGAAAGAATAGCAGAGACTAAAGCAAAGAATCGTCTCGCCCACAACAGCTGCTGCTCTCCCGTGCCAGGCAGGGGACGCTGGGCTGGGGCTCCAACTAGTTTTCGCCACCGGCAGCCCAACTCCCTGGGCTTTCTGTTCAGTGCAGTGGGAAGCCGAGTCTCTTCTGCCTTCTGCGCTGGGGGAGGTGCCTCTCCCCTCCTTTTCCTGCCCACTCAGTGGGATTCCCTGGTAGGGGCTTTGATGGGCGGGGGCTGTTCCTACTCCTGAGGAGCTCCCTGGGGACTCGGGCCATTGTTTCCACCCTCAGAATCCTGAACCCACCTCCACCCTGCTGAGCCCACCTCCCTGGACTGGGTACTCCAGCTGTGGCTCCAGCCCTCGGAATCCTGCTTCCACGCCGCCCTGTGAGCCCTCCCTGCACTGGGTTTCTGTGTGGCTCCTCCGGAACCCTGCGTCTTTCTGCTACTTACATCCACACTTGGCGTCATTTCTGAGCATGTTTAAAGAGCTTTTGCTGCAACCACCATGTTCCTTCTAGAACAGGTGCCTCTCTTTCTAGGATGTAGTGTGTTGAGGTGGTCCTCAGCTCTTCTGACTGGCCTCCCAGCCTCTTCCCGTCTTGTTCCCTGGGCATTGGGCTGCGTCCGGCTGTCCTGTCTGCCTGGTAGTCTGGTCTCCGTGGCCCTCAGGGCACTGTGGGCCCCTCACACATGCTGTTCCAGCTCTCCGGCTCCCTTCCTGCCCCTCATGTCTCTAGCAAGCTTGGCCTTCTCAGGGAGGCCTGCCCTGGCCGCCGCCTTTGAAACTGCGTCCACTCCCCCGCCTGCCCCAGCACCCACCCTGCTTCCTTCCTTTGCAGCAGTTTCTTCCTACGCGATACAGGAGAGACTGCATTTATGGGCTGGGGTCCTATGTCCTTACAGCCGTGTCTGGGCTTCTGAGTCTGTGCCCGCACTGTTGGCTCACAGTGCGTGCGTGCACCCTGCAGACCTTCCCTAGGGCAGAGCCAGCCCCAGCCAGACTTGGTGGCCCTTGCTCTGAGGGTCCTGTGCTGGGACCCGCACCAGCCTTGGACTGCTGGGGTGGGGACAGGCAGTTGGATGTGAAGGGCGCACAGCAGGGCTGGGGGACGGGCAGGCATGTCTGCCCAGGTGGCCTCCACTGCACCACACGACCAGGACGGGACGTAACCCCAGCGGGACCATCCTGGTCTGGAAGTTTCCCTCCTGCCCCATTTGCCATCTCCACCGAGCTGTGGCTGGAATGGAGGTGCTGGAGACACTGATGGGTGGACCCGAAAGCAGACCGTTGGCGGGGCCTGGGCACACGTGGCGTGTGTGGGCCGGGTGGAGACCTGCTGACTGGTCCCTTTGACATGGAGTGGTTCATGTTTTGTCCTGTGGACAGGCCACAGTGGGGGTGGCATGGCTGACAGGTGATGTGGACCCAGGGGCTAGCTCACCCCTTTCCACCCCTGTGCACAGCCTCTGCCTTGGCAGCGGGCACGTTGGAGGCAGACATCTTGTGTGGAGTGGGCGTGGGCGCCCAAGGTGTCATCCTCGGCAGACAGACGGTCAAACTGAGGTGCAGAGGCCACTCTGACCCTGGCTGTGGGGGCTGGCCTCCTGGCCGTGGGTGAGCAAGGGTCTCATGCTGCATTTTGACGCCACCAGGTCGTGTAGGGCAGGCGGTGGCGCTGCGAGCCAAGGCCTTCGGCTTCAACGTGCTCTTCTACGACCCCTACCTGTCAGACGGCGTGGAGCGGGCACTGGGGCTGCAGCGCGTGAGCACCCTGCAGGACCTGCTGTTCCACAGCGACTGCGTGACGCTGCACTGCGGCCTCAACGAGCACAACCACCACCTCATCAATGACTTCACCGTCAAGCAGGTGCGCGGGCCGGGCACAGGACTCCCTTCTGGCAGGGCCAGCGTGAGGGACAGGTGGGGGTGTCAGGTGGGTCCCTGCTGCCAACCGCACCTGGGCGAGACCCTGCCCTCATCGAGCCACACCGCGGTGTCCGCCAGCCCTGCTGGAGTGAGCCCTGTCTGTACAGACAGCTTTCTCCGTGTTCCGAGTTCTACTCAGACACCAAAAATACTCTCCATGCGAGGCAAGACCACAGGCCTTTGAGTACCAGATTCCCCTGAAGTCCTTGTCGCTCGCACAGCAGGGACAGATGCAGCTCCCTGGGGTCCTTGGGTCGGCCGTTGCGGCTTCCGCGCTGTGCCGGCACGTTGAGGTTGCATATCTGCAGCTGGAAAGGGCTGTGCTCAGGGGGCCTCTGCCTCAGCAGTGCACTTCCCTAAGTGGGTGGACTTGGGGGCGGCTGGCTCCCACTGGCTCCCCCCTTTCAGGGGGTTGTATGTGCGCATTGGTGTGTGTGTACATGGGCACGTGTGCTTGGGTGCACGTATGTCTGCATGTTTGTATGTGCTGGTTAGTGTGTGCATGTGAGTACACATGTCAGGCCACGTGTCAGCCGTCTGCCCAGACCCCTGTAGCTGCAAGAAGGATGAGGCCAGGTGCCCGCCTCCCCTTTCTTTGTTCACAGAGCCTTCTAGTGGACAGGGTGTGGCACATGGACACTGGTCAGAGCCCTGCTGTCTCTGAAGACCTTGGGTGTGAGGCTGCAACGGGCAGCAACTCACCAAAGAGGAGCCACTGTGACATGCACGGCTGCCAGCCAAACACTGTGGCCGGGTGCTGGCTTTGAAATGGGGGGATGCAGGAATGCCCTGGCTGCAAAGCCAAGGGGGAGCCTCTCCCAGGGCCTTTTGCAAAAGCTCCTGAAACACGAGCCTGTTCCAAAGACAGCAGGCTCTGCTGCAGGCCCCGGCTGGGCTGGAGTCAAAAACCACGCCTCAGAGCAGACAGCCGTGGGCGTTGGGAGGCTGGGCTGGAGGGGACCCAGAAAGAGGGTATCACAGGAGCCAAGCCTGGAGCTCCGCCCAGTCCTCAGCTCGGCTTGCACAGGAGGGTCAAGCTCTCTAGGTGGTGTGGGGCTGTGTAGGTCTCTAAGGCCCGAGCCCCAGCCAGCCTGCCAGGGCCGCAGTGCCAAATGCCCAGGGCCTTCAGTCTGAGAGCCCTGCTGAGCCCAAGGTGGGCCTGGGCTAGGAAGGGGCTGGGGAGCTCCCCCATCTGATGGGGCACAGCGCCACCCTTGCTTCCCTGGTTGCCCACCCTGTGTGGATCCCTGACTGAGCCTAGCCTTGTCCTTACGTCTTCCAGATGAGACAAGGGGCCTTCCTGGTGAACACGGCCCGGGGTGGCCTGGTGGACGAGAAGGCGCTGGCCCAGGCCCTGAAGGAGGGCCGGATCCGCGGCGCGGCCCTGGACGTGCACGAGTCGGAACCCTTCAGGTGCCCCCACGGCTGGTGCCACCCCTGCTCTTCCCTGCCCACCCTCCTGCCGGCCTTGACCTCCAGACGGCGCCTCTGCCAGGCCAGGCACTTGCCTGTGCTCAGCCTCTCGCTGGCCGGCACTGGGAGAGTTTGCCATCCACTGTGTGGTGAGGATGGAGCCATGGGCTCCGGGCCTGCCTCGCCTCCGTGCTGGGAGGGACTAGTTCTCTGCAGCCTCTCTTTGGGCAGGGCTCCCAACCAGCCAGGAGAGCGTGAGGCTCCAATATCTGTGAGTGGTCCCCAACGGCCCTGGCCATGGAGCCACAGGATCACATCCAGACCTGCAAATGGCGCCCTGGGACCCCAGGCAGCCCTGGGCTGGATGTTAGTTGCAGGAGAAGACACCCTTGGCAGGGGCAGGATCAGCTTGTGGGACCCACAGACCCTTCAATGGAGAGGGGCCAGGCCAGTATGTCCCCCCATCAAGGCTGCTCCCCTGAGGGCTCAGAGATTAAATCCCACCGCTGTCAGGAGCCCCAGTGGGTCTGACTGTCCCAGGCTGTGCCCTTGTGCTCAGCCCACCTGCCCAGCAGAGCAGAGGCCATGGGGTCTGCTTCCCAAGCAGGGCCCTCCCACAGGGTGTCCAGTGCCCAGCCACCTCACCCCCGAATGCGGGCGCAACATTCGGGCTGCACTGACTGTGCCCGTGCTATTCCCAGCTTTAGCCAGGGCCCCCTGAAGGACGCACCCAACCTCATCTGCACCCCCCACGCCGCATGGTACAGTGAGCAGGCATCCATCGAGATGCGAGAGGAGGCAGCACGGGAGATCCGCAGAGCCATCACAGGTGGGCGCGGGGGCGGCTCTGTCAGGCCAGGGGAGCTCTGCAGAGCCATCACAGGTGGGCGCGGGGGCGGCTCGGTCAGGCCAGGGGAGCTCTGCAGAGCCATCACAGGTGGGCGCGGGGGCGGCTCGGTCAGGCCAGGGGAGCTCTGCAGAGCCATCACAGGTGGGCGCGGGGGCGGCTCGGTCAGGCCAGGGGAGCTCTGCAGAGCCATCACAGGTGGGCGCGGGGGCGGCTCGGTCAGGCCAGGGGAGCTCTGCAGAGCCATCACAGGTGGGCGCAGGGGTAGCTCCATCAGGCTGTGCGCCCACCTGTGGCCTGGGGCACCCTTCCTGCCAGCCCCAGGTGCTCGTGGGCTCACATCTGCCCAGCATCTGGGCCCATGTTCTGCCAGCTCAGGGCCGTGGTTCTCACTGCTCTCACCATGCCCCCAGCAGGGGCCTCTGAGGCCAAAGTCAGGCTGAGCCCTGGAGCTATGTCTGACACACTAGACCTGCAGGTTGGGGCCTGTGAGCTGCTCTGGGAGGTTCCTGGGCTGAGTAGACAGGCCCCTCAGCAAGCTGGGCACATGCTCTGGGCTGGGGGTTGCCCACGCTGTGAGGGTGCTGGCCACTGACAGTACCCAGTTGTGCCTGGGGAGCCCTGGGGCTGAGGGCAGGAGCACACTGCCAAGGGCGCTGCGGTTCATGTCCTCAACCCAGTGGGCCATGCTCCTGGGGTGCCCTCAGAGCCACAGCTGTTCCTCCCTCCTGCGTCTCCCAGGCCGGATCCCAGACAGCCTGAAGAACTGTGTCAACAAGGACCATCTGACGGCCGCCACCCACTGGGCCAGCATGGACCCCTCGGTTGTGCACCCAGAGCTCAATGGGGCCGCCTACAGGTGAGCAGGCCCACTGGGAACTTAACAGCCTCCATGAGGGTGGGCAGCTTCCCCTGGATCCCAGCATAGCCCTTGGCAGAAAGGGCAGCATCTCTGCTGAGCTGGAGGATCTGGGTGGACTTGATGCCCACCTCACCCAAAAGTCCCACAAGAACCAGGGCCCCTTGGAAGGAGCCTGGGCTGGGTGGCCTTCAGGGCCCAGTGGACATGGGACTGCTGGGCAGAGGCCTATGTGGGCACGGGGGCTGTGGGAGCAGGGGGCTTTGGGTGAGGTGAGGACCTCATGTCCCAGTTGCCTGGAGACACCAGAGCTCCCCTCCCCTGCCCTGAGAAGTAGCTTTGGTGGGCAGGAGCGTCCATGCAGAGGCAAGGACCCTCACCCTGACTGCTGGTCCTCCTGGAGATGCCCCCTCGGTGCTGCTGCCACTGTGAGGGCAGGCGGGGCCTGGCCAGGTTGCCTACAGGTGGGCCCCACGGCTGGACCCTCTCCCAGCAGGTACCCTCCTGGCGTGGTGGGTGTGGCCCCCACTGGCATCCCAGCTGCTGTGGAAGGCATCGTGCCCAGCGCCATGTCCCTGTCCCACGGCCTGCCCCCTGTGGCCCACCCGCCCCACGCCCCTTCTCCCGGCCAAACTGTCAAGCCCGAGGCGGATCGAGACCACGCGAGTGACCAGTTGTAGCCCGGGAGGAGCTCTCCAGCCTCGGTGCCTGGGCGGAGGCCCGGAAGCCCCTCGGACCCGAGCGTGCAGAGGAGGTGCCTGCGTGGCGGCCCTGGCGCTGCAGAGACTGCCGGGCGGTGCAGGAGGCGGGTGGGCAGCGCCGGTCCCGTGTCGGTTGTCGTCGTCCGTCCCGTGGGCTCTGTCCTGTGTCCTTCGCGTCCCTCGTTAAGCAGAAGAAGTCAGTAGTTACTTTCCCATGAACGTTCTTGTCTGTGTACAGTTTTTAGAACATTACAAAGGATCTGTTTGCTTAGCTGTCAACAAAAAAAACCTGAGGGAGCATTCGGAAATCAATTGGAGGTTATTTTTTCCTTTTCTATGTTGGAACGTGCCCCAGATGAGGCAGTTGGCAAACTTCTCAGGACAATGAATCCTTCCCGTTTTTCTTTTTATGCCACACAGTGCATTGTTTTTTCTACCTGCTTGTCTTATTTTTAGAATAATTTAGAAAAACAAAACAAGGCTGTTTTTCCTAATTTTGGCATGAACCCCCTTGTTCCAAATGAAGACGGCATCACGAAGCAGCTCCAGGAGAAGCTTGGGCGGTGCCTGGCACGCCCGCTGCCCGCCGACGTCTGTCCTGGGGACGCGGAGGGTGGCAGCGTCCCCACCTGCACCGGTGCCGTCCTGCTGATGTGGTAGGCTAGCAATATTTTGGTTAAAATCATGTTTGTGACTGTAACCATTTGTATGAATTATTTTAAAGAAATAAAAATCCCGGAAAGAGCCAGCATGCCTGGCATCTGTTCTAGCGACTTTGTCTCACAACGACCCGGGTGAGCCTCAGTCCCGGCTGTGGTGACCTCCAGGGCCCAGCTCAGCCTCTCGGAAGTGGGCAGCCTGAGAGAGACCCCGAGACAGGGCCGTGGCAGGTTGGGCAGTGGTCTCTGTGTGTACCGGGCCTGTGCCTCTGCCCGCTTCATCCGTGGGGCACTGTAGGGTCCTGGCTGAGAGGCGGCCTGCTGAAGTGCCCCTGTGGAAGGGGAGCAGTGTGCCAGGCCAGGCCACTATGTTGATGTTGGTCTGACTGGCTGAGGTCCTGCCCTGCGGCCCACCCCCTCCCTTCTTGGCATACCTCCCTCAGGCCGGCCTGCGACCTGGGAAGACCGTGGGCCACAGGAGGATGAAGGAAAGCAGACGTCAGGACCGAGGAAGCTGCCCAGACCGCGGGTCAGCCAGCCTACAGAAATGTGCAAAAAAGCCAAAAGGCGTCGCCCTCACCTTGGCCCACAGCCGCACCTGTTTGCTGGTGTCCTCTTCGAAATCCTGGCCTCCTGGTTCCTCAGTTTCCTTTGGACGTGTGGTCCATGCATGTCAGCAGGGTCCCAGTTCATTTTATGAGATTAATTTTGATACCAGACACCCCGGAGGAGCACTTCCAGGCAGACTCCTGCAGGTGGGTCCAGGTAGTGCAAGGAGGGGCTGTAGCAGGCGCTGGGGGAACCCGGGTCCCTTTGGGACGTCCCTGGCCTGAGCCTTTCCCTGCATGCAGGTGGGTTCTCCTGCCAGCCCAGGCATGCAGACCCTGCAGCGTCAGCCCCCAAGTGTCAGCCTCCCCCTGCTCCCTGCCCCATCTAAAGCAGAAGCAGTGGGGAGGCCCCTGCCTTTGGTGGGGGTGCCCCCTCCTACCTGGCAGTGCACCCCGGGGCCTGCAGAGGTCTTGGGTATGGGCAGTGGTTCCCAGTCTTGAGGCCCACAGAGGGCAGCCCTGCCTCACTGACCGAGGCCTCTGCATCCTTCCCCTTAGCAGGTGAGTGGCAGAGAACACCCAGCCAGTCTCTGACCAGCTTGGAGCCCCTCATCCTGGAGCCCCCGGACCACTGAGGGGGGTGGCCTGGGCTGATGGGAAGGGTGGGTTCTGGACACCATTAAAGAGCTGGCCCGGGTTTCGCCGACACAGGCATTGGGTGTGAGGAGGGGCAGCCAAGGTGACTTCAAGGGTCTGGGGTGCTGGCTGGAGCTGGCGTTTTCTGATATCGTTGGTGGGGGCTGCAGAGGCGGCGGTGGGAAGACCAGGAGTTCCACACTGACTGCTGGCTTGAGCCTCTGCACAGGCAAGCCCTGGGCTGGGTCACTGGGCCCTGGTCAGCCCCCAGGGCAGCCGAGGGTGGGGCCGCCCTCCCAGCTCCAGCTGGAGACAGGCCACGCCCTGAGAGGCAGCCAGGCACCGGCAATGTGGGCTGGACGCAGGCCCGGAGGTCCCACTCAGCTGGCCTCAGTGTTTCCAAGTAAAAGGGTCGGTTTTCCCTGCAGAAAGGGAACGCCGCCAAGGGCTGTCCTCGGTGTGAGGCTGGCGGCCAGGGAGCCTGGACACTGAAGTGTGGCTCCGAGTCTAACAGAAAAATGTTTGGAGCCTCAAAAGGAACCTCCCTTTGGTGCCGCCTCCGGGGAGTCACCCTATCCAGCCCGGCCCCAGGAGGGGTGCTGGTAGCAGAAGGTGGGTCGGGGGGGCCTCAGCCTTGGTTTCCTTGCCGGTGAAATGGGCAGCACGGCTCATCTCCCTGGAGGCTGGTATTAGCCTGGAGATTGTGCCAAAAAACCCTAAGACAAGAACGTGAAATAAGGTTTGCGTGTTGGAAGGGAAGAGATAAGCCGCTGGTGTTTGCTGACAAGCGTCTATGTAGAAAATCCAGGAAAATCAGCCACAGCCTGCAGCTAATCCTGGACGGGCCAGGGGGCCTCACAGGAGCACCTGTGGTGCCTGCCAGCTGTCCAGAAACAAACAAAGGTGCAGACAGCGGGTGTCTGTGACGGGATGCATCCTGCTCTGTCCTCACGATGCAGGGTCTGACCCGTTAGCCCGATTCTGCAGTGAGCACAGTGGCCAGAATCTGGTCCTAGCCGCCGGCACCTGGCTGGTAAAGACCGTGGGAGTGACCGGGGCCGCCAACCTCCATGGTGAACGGTGAGGCCGTCAGATGAGACGGGCTGTGCTTGTGGGGCGGGCTGCTAATGTCATAAAATACTGTGCTTTAAATATATTTTTCCAAGTGCTATAGACTTCATCACCTTCCCAGGCAAAATTTCAGCTGCTTACATTGAACAAGTTCAACGATTTTATCCCCAAATTTATATGGAGCAACAAAGGTCTATGAATCTGGGCTTGTGCAACTCAGGTGTATTAAAAAGGGAACAGCCACAGCCGCCTCCTGGTTGTAACACTGAGGGCTTTGGGGCAGTGGATGGTGGAGAGGCGGTGGGGCCCGCTGGCTTGGTGTACGTGTGCGTACGTGTAGGTGTGTGGGTATCTGCCTGGTTGGCAGGTGTGTGCTTGTGCTTGTGAACTGGAGAGGTGATCAAGGGCACAGGTCCCGGGCCCTCATGGGTAAAACAAGAGCCCTGGTATGCCAGCCATGGAGGCGTGGGTGACCCCTAAACTGGACAGCAGAGGCACAGACCATGAAGCAGAGGCCATTGCCTTCGTGTGTTCACACCTGGCCCAGAGTCCGTTCAAGAAAGGGCTGAGAACAGGTGGCAGGGCACACCCTCCAGGTGGGCGAGGGCCCTGCTGGGACCCCTGGAGCAGGAAGAGGCCGTGATTCCCAGGTCTGGCGGAGGGCTCTGGAGCAGGAGGGGTGGAACCGGGGAGGGCCAGGCAGCGGCCGCCCCAGCTCCTCCGGCTACTGCGCCTTGGTGGAGAACTCTCCTTTGGCTGCTGACAAACACCTGGGCTCTGGCCTCCCTAGACCTCCTCCCAGGCACGGGCGCAAAGGGAGGCTGCAGGCAGCTCTAGGGACCTGGACAGGAAGTTGGGAGGGTCAGGACAGTTCTTTTGGGTGGCCCAAGCAGGGCACAGGATGGGGAGTCAGGCTCTTTGGGATCCCCACCCCAGGCAGGGCCCCCACCCCCTCCTGCCTTCTGTCCCCAGTGTGGGCCCAGAACTGACCCCGAGGAGGCCGGGAAGCACCTACCACCCCCGCCCCCGGCTGCTCTCAGCCAGAGCCCAGCTGGACTTGCAGGATTGATTTTCCAGCAAAAAACAACTGCAGAGAAGCCCAAGAGAGGCCCAGCTGCACAAGACCTCCCAGGCCTCCTCCCCGCCCCCCCCCTGCCGGCACTCCCTGCAGGAAGGAAAACCATCTGGCCACTGGGCCCTGAGCCCAGTGCCCGGAGGAGGACCTCGGCCCAGCTGAGCAGCTCCGCCCCCCAGGCTGGCCCCAGGCCTCTACCCACCTGACCCGCTCCCTTCGGCATTGAGCCCAGGCAAAGATGGGGTGGCCCGGCCAGGGTGCGGCCCAAGGCCCCTCTGAGCACCAGCACTGCTGAGTCTACCTCTGCTCCCCCAAGCCCCTAACCACTCCCCTGGACAGCCTCGGCCACCCCTGGCCCAACCCTCGAACAGCAGCCAAGGGCTTCCCACCAGGGTCCGCACACATCCCTGAGAGGCAGGTGTTGTGACTTGAACAAGATCAAGGCAGCTGGACCCTCCCTGCATCTGAAGCGCGGGGCATGGCTGCTTCTCTGGGGCGGCCTACTGCTGCCCTTTCTTTTTAAACCAGCTGCTGACCCCGTTGCTCAGTGACAGCAGGACCTGACTGTGGAGGGCTCGCCACGCACTCTCCAGGTCCTTGACACAAGCTGGCTCCAGCAGGGGGGTGGGGCCACTCTGGAGGACGCCAGGGCCAGCCAGGGCTATGGATGCTGGTGGGACAGAGGGTGGCAAGGAGCCAGACTCACCACGGCACGACCAGCCCCTGCAGGTGTCTGGAGCTCCAGCCTCCCCCACTCTGTGCAATGGGTGGTCACACCTAGCAGGGCCCAGCTGCTTACCTAGAGAGTGGTTCTGAGCAGCAGCCTGGGGTCCCAGGCCAGCCTCTGCCCAGCCCCACGCTCACCCGACAATGCCTCCCCGGCACTGCCCTGCACCTGCCCACACCAACCCCAACCCCTTACACCTGCCCCCACCCGCCCTGTACCTGCTCACACCTAACCCCATCCATCCCCACCTGGCCCCATCCACCTCCACGCCCCTCCAGCCACCCACACCTGCCCCACGACCCCCACTGCCTCTTCTGTCCCCATCACCCCCACCTTCCATGTGCTCCCACATGTCCCCTCACCTGCTCACACCTGTCCGCCCCTCACCTGTCCACTCGTGGTCAAAGTCACGTGCTATACACCCACCCCACACCTGGGGTTCACCTGGGCTGGGGTTTGCTCTCTGCTCCTGGCTGGATGCCCTGGCTCTTCTGCCCCCGAGGGAGATCTCCCAGGGCAAGCCGCCTCCCCCGCAAAAGCCTCAGGCCCTGCCTCCCCTCTCCGCCTGAAAAGCTGAGCCCGAAGAGGTTCCTTCTATTCCAAGAGCCCCCATTCGGCCTGCTGGGTCCCCATGCCCTGAGGAGCTGCTGCTCTTGCTGGGCACCCCGGCCCCTCCACCGGGGACACATCTGTCCTGGAGGCATTTGCTGTGGGTCCCCGCACCGGGGCCGCCAGGTCACTCCCTCTTCTCATCTGTCACAACATGGCCCTCCCTCTGGCCCCAAAATCTGGTCTGCCGGCCTCCCCCTGCTCTAGCAGAGCCGTGGCAAGGCCAGGCCAAGGGCTAACACCTCTCAGCCCTGTCAGCTCAGCCTAAGCCCACAGCCAGCCCAGGGGAGTCAGGGGCTGCAGCCGGGCAAGTGGCTGAGTGGCACCCACAGGCCCCGGTCAGGGCCCTCTCCAGTCTGCTGTGCCCTGAGACGCGGCTCCTTTCGGGGTCACGCACGGACTCAGGAGGAGCAGTGAGGA